GCACCAAGTCCATTCTTGTAGATGTAACAAGCGTCAACCCATCCGCAGGTCCAAAACCAGGGTCCGCCCTCGAAGATCGAGCTGCAAGTAAGGCAAATCACTATGCGGGAACTTTCAACCCGTCTAGATCTACCCTCCTTGCTGCTTTTTCAACGTATGGTGGTCTTGGCAAAGGCACAAATCGACTTATTATCGTAGCCATCGCCAACCACTTGGTATATGAAGCCTTTTGCAAGGGGAATTTCGACGACGAAACAGCCTTGCTTCGCCTGAAGGTTTTTCATACCAACAGGATTCGGAGACGGGTTACCTTCGAGCTGGCTCGTTTTCTGTCCGTGCGAACTCGTGATGTTTTCGAACGTCTTGGACTACCGGTTGATCAATTTTCACCACGGCCAATAGGTTGGGATAGAAATGACCAGGATGGCAATGAGAGAGATTCGTTTGGCAGCGATGAAGGAGGAGGAAAAGGAATGGGAGAAGGACAAGACAGAGACCAAAACAGCAGTCGAGGAAGGAATCATGGCGTGGAAGAGAGCAAGAGCTTCGAGCCAGATGACCTTCCCCGACACAAAATACGCAGGGGCAGAGAAGAAATATAGAAAAGTTGCTGTCAGGATGATGATGAGAACGATGGAGTTGAACGCAAGGAGGATGACGGTGAAAGCACTCCAAAACGAACTCAAGTGCAAGGTAGCAGCCTTCGTAGACGTGTGCAGCGTTTCTGTCTTTGATCCGGAGAATAGATTAGCCTCCCCCATGCCGTCCCCTCACGGCGTCCCAGTTTATGGCATTTAGAAGTGTTTGGTGTTTTAAGCCGCACTGAGACTGACGTATTTTTCATTGGTCAGCCGGTTAGCGGGGTCGATGCTAAAAATAAACACATACACACACCATGGTGGCTTCACATGGGCGCGGGGACCATGTGGGTCTTGTTCGGCGACAAGACACTTTAATCCCATCCCTCCAAGATAGCATGAATAGTAGTAGCTTGGGAACCCCAAACCACCGTTCATTACACGTGTACCCCAAGGGCTTTTTACGCGCGCGTGTGCGTGTGTTTTCGTCATATTTATTATGGCGACGTAAGTTCCCCTATTTTTCGTGGTGAGACGTGTACTACTACATACACCCTTCAGTGTGTTTTATCGTACAACAACACCAACCATCCAGGGTCACACAGGAGGGGGTCAACACCAGGGGCTTCTTTCTTCTTTATGTTTTTCGTGCCCCACCTTCCTCCAGCGGTGCGTGCTGACTTTGTTTTTGATCGCGAGAAGGGTCCAGCCGTCCCTCTCCCTCATCAACGGTGCTAAATCGTCGAAGTTTGGTCCTCACGAGCTTTTCTACATAGCTATTTGTCGCTTTCACTCGCAAATTTTGTAAACTTTTCATCCATGGGGATTCGAACGCACGACCTCTGCGACTATAGCGGTTTGAGGAACCAACCACTAGACCACCGGGGCGACCCGCGTGCGCCCTCTTTTCACGAGGGCCGGGGTTCGATCCCGAGCATCCTCGTTCCCATTCTCTTTTTTCTTCACATATGTACAAAAAGTACCCTCTCGTAGTCCGCTTGTCGTGGGGATCACGGAAACATACGCATATACATTTTGTACTTTAGTCTGTCCATGGACTATGTGGTGGCCGAAACCAAAAGTTGTCATTGGTCAACCAAAAAAGGATCCCGACCAAACCGTATTGCCCTGTAATTTTGCCAACGATGGGCGGCCCACGGGTATGCCCAACATGCTCACCGTGGTGGGCTGCCCACGATAGGCTGCACATGTTGGGGTGCCCATTGGCAGCCATGGGCAGCCCATGGCGGGCATTGTAGGCTTGCCCATGGGCATGACCATGGGTGCTCTCAAATTAACTCGCAGTTTCCGCATCACCCCAAGGACTAAGCACATTGACGTAAAGTTTCACCACGTAAGGTCGCTGGTAGCTGATGGAGTCGTAGACGTGAAGCAAATATCGACGTCGCTTCAGAAAGCGGACATTTTTACGAAAGGGCTAAACCCGTCGGAGTTTCTCCGCGCCCGTGGCATGCTGTTAGGAGTTTGATCACCTCCCCTCTTCGTAATCAGTCTTCATGTCTTGAGGGTTGGATGGTGTATGTGTGTGTATATGTTAGAAGAAAATTCGGGAGATTTGTGTCGAAGGAAAATAAATCGCTGCTGATGCAACGCAGCTGAGAAAGGCAAAACATTTGATATTGAGTCAGAAGTTCTTAAGATAACATTGTTTCGAGAGGACATGGATATATATTGTTTCGAGAGGATATTGAGAGAGAATTGGATCTAATGCATTGGAACTAGAATGACGTAGTTCTTGAGAGGACATGTTGGAGTAATTGCGGTACAAGAACGACTCTATTCTACTGCATGGGTTTATGCGGTATTGTGAAGGCGTTGCCAAGTCTGGAATCGTCAGGTGAAGACAGCTTGGGCGTCTGTGTGGATAATAAGATCACTCTGAGTGTTTTGCCTACCTAACCTCGCATCACATGCCAGCTACTTTGTAGCCACAGCTAAAGGAATAGCTGTACAGCAACTGCAGTGACAGTGCTGTTGCCTCAACAGGTGGCGCGTCGTGGACAAAAATGCGGCCCATGGCGTGCCCACCATGAGCTGCCCACTTTGCCCATGAGCGACAGTGCCCACGGGCTGTCCATGGTCTGCTCATGGGCGGGATTATTATCAAAAACCTCGAAAGTCCGGGAGACCCATGGACTAAGCAGGGGGGGGCGCGCGCGCGTCAACACAGCAGAAGGAAACGTGATCCTTCAGTGGACGCATGGACATGTCCGCGGACGTCCGCGGACGTCCATGGACGCGTCCACGGACATGACCCAAAAAAAGAGAACGTGTCCGTGGACAAGGTCCATGGACATGTGTCCACTGAAGGATCCCGTGGACACGTCCGCAGACAACGCCCATGGACATGTCTGTGTACGCGTCCGTGTGGACGTCCGCGGACGTCCGCCGACATGTCCACGGACAACGTCCTTGGACGTCCATGCACGGACGTGTTCCACGGACGTGTCCAAATGGTCAAAAATGTATCTATTCATTATTACCCGAGAAAAGCCGCGTGGTGGTCAAGGACTGCAACAGCATGAAAGCGGGCGAGAGAGAGCGCGAGAGAGACATGCACAGAATACTGTCGTCTATCTATACAGCAGTAGATGATGTGGTGACGTGTGTACACATACAGCATATTTACAGAAGTAGCATGTCAACGATGCGACGAACAGCACGCTTCCGCCTACATGCTGTACACCTCTGCTTTGTGTTGGAACGTGTGGCGGAACACAAGGCCTTGTGATTACGTGTTCCGGAAACAACAAGTCTTAACCACCGCTGCACCTTCTAGCTAACTCTTTGCCCTCGTCGACGCAGTCCTTCGCGGTTTCCACCATGTGCAGAATCTTCTTGCCGGCGGAGAAGGCCTGATATAACAATAGATCCGCCATGGCCGCAACGCGTCGGGGGGCTGGACCTCGAATGACTGCAGCCCCGCCGGATGTAGGCCCGATCGCGTGGAGCGAGGGAGGGAGAGACAAGAAGAGAGGAATTAAACGGTTGCCGGCGTGGCATCTGGGCGTCTCGGGCTGATTGCTGTGCAGGGGAGGGGGGGCGGTTGCACCGCTCGATGTGAGAAAAAATAAAAATGGTTCTTCGCTTGGGCTGAACGTGCCGTTTCATTCAATTTTTGGGAGAGGCGCCGGGTGCGGGTACGCGGGTAAACCTGAACAGACACTAGTTACATTTAGCGTGCACCAGTGGGCACAACCAGCAGAACTACAGAGTCGTCGAATGGTGTGGGCCTCGTATCACTGCTATGCATGACCTCACACCTTGACTTCGACTGTAAGTCAGACCGATCTAGGCCCTGTTTTTGCGGGGTAACAGCCAGTTTGTTTGTTGTATTGTTCGCGTTTGGGAGGAGGAACTTTTTCTTCTTTTGTTAGTGTTAAATGCCAAGTACTCGTATTTGGTTTTAGAGTACACAAAGAGTTGAATTTTTTCTCTGCGTGGGCCGTGGCTCCTTGTATCTATGTATCCTCTCAGGTTAGCACGCCTGTCTGTTTAGTACTCGGAGTACATATATGTATGAAATTGAGATAATGAGAATAATTAATTCTGATTAATTCAAGCCGCATTCTTGGTTGTTGGTGGCAAAAAATTGTGCAAAAAATGTTGCGCATTCATTCATGTTTTTGTTTTGGTCGCGGCGTCGTCGTGCAGCGAGGACGAGCTCCAGCTTTCAAGTCGAATATCGGCCAGGCGCCGCATAATCGTCGTTCGCCTTCCTGCGGACTACGGAAGTTGGAAGGAGAGTGTAGTAGGCGTGGAGAACTACAGAACATTCATTGTGAGAAGAAAGTGAGAACGCGCCAAGCTGAGTCAGCATGAGATTTTCCGATTTGTGTCATGATCGTGAATCCGCTTTCTAAGACTCTGCCTGCAGGGTTCGAAGCAAGCTACAGACAAACACAAGCTTCGCCTCTTGCAGCCAGCGGCCAAAAGATAACATGCAAGATAAATCTTGCCTTTTAAGACCGACGCAGAAACATCACAACATACAGCTGTAAACCATACAACGATGTACCAGGCAAGAATAAACAAGGGTGTTCGTGACCAAACCCAATCTCTAACCTCTAACGAATACAGCCGTGAGCGACCTTGTGAGGCACATTCATACAATTGTTCACAAGTCTTTGCCCCGCGCAGCAGTGCAAGACATGGGGGAAAACCCTTCCACTTCATTCGGCGCCGAAACATCCACAATTAATTGCTGTTACCACACCAGCCATAAGCTAACAATACCGTCGGTGCGGGCGACCAAACCCAACCTCTACCTCCAGCCCACCACCGTTCCCAGACCTGTCGTTTCTAAGAAATCTATCTAGAAGCCCTCGTTGTCATCGCCGTCGTCTTGTTGGCAATAATACGTATTTACTGCAGTGCTGTAGACCCTTGTTGGGGCTTTCGTTAGGCCTCCTGCTCTAGCATCGCCGCCTTCAAGCGCGACCTGTACACGTTCCTAGGCTTCACGCCCTTCAAGGTGTCAAGCATCGTCTTGTCACGGAAAATCTGCCGGAAGAGTCACGGAGAAGCGGGGGAGAGACCAACCAGAAGGAAAAGCAAGCAGCGGGCGGCATGGTGAGGGCGGACCGAAAAATCAGCAAAAAGTGCGCATACCCATGAGAGTGCAGCTACGCCGGCACGGCAAGGGTGAGATCACCGTCACCGTCACTGTAAGTCTAACAGCCCATCACAAGCCTGCCGCCAAGTTTGACGCCGTTTGTCCTTAGAAAGCAATTCGGCTCTTTCACGATTCATGCACACGGTGTAGCAGTCCGACGAGAGAGAGGGTCTGACAACACACAGCAGTTCGAGATAAGTCACCTTTGCCAACCGCTCAGTTCATACACGTTCGCCACCTTCAGCTTGCCCGCGACGAAAAGGAAGAGGGGGGGGGTCGCCCGGTTTCAACTGTACCAAACTCTCGCCACCAAATCTATTTTTTCACGGCTACTTTCAAGAGCTTTGTCCAGGCCGGGAGAGACTATGTTGTGGTGCATTGAAAATAGTGGCACTTGTACTGACTGATGAAAGTATGCACACATCTAAATATTATTAGGAAATACACAGTAGAGGTCCCTGTTTAGTGCCGGCATGTGCCCAGAAAAAACACCGGTCCGGACCCGGCACTATTCAAAGTACTGAGAATGACTTGATATTTCAGATTGTGCCCACCGAAAGCACCGCCACTATACCGGGCACCGGCACTAAACAGGGACCTCTGTGGAATGAAAGAAAGACTACCAGTTCGAGATATAACCACGGTAAATGGAAGGAGATGGGATGAAGTCTTTTCAGTTACTGGCGGGGGGAAACCCATATTGTTTTTTTCACCTGCACGGTAGGAGTTCCAGTGATGCCGGCGTTCTGCGCGATGTCCGGAGACTCGGTGATGTCCACCTCGACGAAATGAATGTCGTCGGCCATCTCGTCCACTACTCTCTCCAACAGCCGTCCCAACGCCTGCGGCGGGTTGTGGGAGGCGGCGGCGGCGGCGGCGGCGGCGGCGGCGGCGGCGGCAGTGGTTAAATCATGGAAGCGGTGTAGGTGCCCATAAGGCGTTCATTGCAGTGGAGCGACGGGAGATCAAACACACGAGGCAGAAGGGGCGACGTGGGATCATACCAAGGCGGGTGGAGGGGTCAGGGGGGTCAGGGGGGTCAGGGGGAGGGGTTGCACCGAACGAGGCGGCAAGGACGGCGACGTGGCATTCCATCACCGAGGCTGTACATAGAAGAAGGTGCAACGAAGGTACGGGGGAGATGAAGCGGATATCCGGAGGATTGCGACATTTCTCTTCGAGTTCCTGCACCTCCAAGACTAAACTTGCAAACAGGAATCTGACAAGAGGTTTCGTGCCTACACCCCTCACCCCGACAACACCGTGCCCGAAGACCATCGATTTTGGTCCGAACACATTGCCCTCAAGCATGAAGGGCGCTAGCAACAGCAGCAGCAGCAGCAGCAGCAGCAGCAACAAAACGCAGGCGGCGATAACATTACGGTGTGCACGTATGTATGTACTACGTACCTTACACGGCCCGCAGGTCGGGCTGATGTACTTGACCAGGAGAGGTCGGTCGCTCTCGAAGTCTGTAGCCGAAAAACGCACCCAAGGCGGGGAGATAGGTGGGGGAGACACCACCAACCGAACACACCAGAGAGGTGGGTAACGTCACGCGCGATGGTTAGGATAAGGCAAAGGGTCTTCTTCGCATTCTACGGTAGGTGTGTTCCGTGCGCCCTTCTTGTAGAGAGAGGACGTTTTCGAGGAGTCAAAAAGTAACGCCAACAACAGAGTATAGGCTCGACCGGAGCAGGAACCACGAAATAACGAAATCCGCCCGAGACTACGTCCGGTTGTCGCACGTGCACAGCTCGGGGGAGGGGGTTGGATCCGGAGAGAACCGCAAAGTTACCGGCCAAAGAAAAACAAACAGCATGCCGATTTACCGCTTACCACACGCCACAACAGATACTACTCCACAAGAAACAAGAAATATACGAAGTAGCAACTACTCCCCCAAGGTTCTATTCAGCCCAACCTCGTTCCGACACACAAGAGCGAAACCCTTGATCTCGAGGAAGGAGAACACGACCGGTCCTGTCCTTACATAATCGTTGGTATGCGTACGCCCCGCGATGCCTGGTCTCTTCGATCTCGAAAGTCTTCAAGTTCTCCACGACCGGCTGGTTGGATGAATAGCCCGTGGTGGTCGGTCCAGGGATGTTCGTTTCATGAGCGATGGCGGGGGCAGGGGATGATGTGAAGTGGGTATGAAGGATGCTGAGATCCGCAAGGAAGACTTCGCGCAGTGGCTTTCCATTTTTGCTAACCAACTCGGGGTGCAGGCAGTGGCCGAGCGGCACGGGAGGGGGGAAAAGAAAACACACACGCGTGCTAAGAACAAGAGAACAAAACAATGGTAGCGTTCTAGGCTCCAAACTACTAGCTCTGTGCGCCTTTCTTGCACCAAGATATGTTCACGAGGAATCACATAAAAAGTATGGTGGGGAGACCTCCGAAAAACTATTAAATAGGGCGAAAAGAAAACATGTCCTTTCCATTTTGGCTAGCAGCCAGATATTCTCGCTTTCAAGTCTCTTGTCACAAAGCTCGCCCAAAAGACGGGCATGATACAAAAGAGGCACAAATTCTCGGGTGCGACGCTGCCTTCTCTTCGGGGCTTGACGGGCTTAAGCCCATACACAGGGACCAACCACTGCCATTGTGTATTTTCCTACATCCTCATCCATGTTCACGATGGCGGCCCTTTTTTCTTCTTTTTTGCTCTTTGCTCGACGAAAGACAGGCATGGTATGCGGGAAGAAGAGGCCAATTTTCTGGGGTGCGAACAAAACCCACACCTTCTCCTCGGGGTCCTTGACGGGCTTGGGGCGGCTCTTCTGCCTCTCCTGGTGCACCTCTCTCAACACCCCCTTCGTTGCCAGGTACCTCTCCGCTGCCAGGGCGGCCGTGCACCCGCTCCCCGCCGCCGTGATCGCCTGCCACAGAACAGGGGGGGGGGGGGGGGTACTCATAGTCGTGCATGCCGCAGTCGTTAGACCATGACCTCGCATCCCTACAAAGCCGGGACGGAGCACGCCGGGTTCTCACCGGACCAGGCTCTCACATCACCAAGCGCGAAGCGCCGTGAGGTATTCGGCGAGTCGCATGAAGGGTGAGCTGCATCCTGCTAAGGGTGTTCGGCATCTTGTACTTACTTCCTTGCGAACGGATGACAGCTGCGTATGACTTAATTTATTTTCTGGTGCTTTCACTTCCAGAGACAGTTGTAAGCACTGTGTAACTGCCTCGAGGATGCTTGACCATTTTAACACAACGTGGTGCGATCATCCCCCGTTGCGCGGAGTGAGGTTTCTCTCGACCCCGCACAACATGATCT